CGCTGAGCGTATGGTGTCAAAACTGTTCCGATAAATATGAGTAAACTTTTGTGCATCAGCTGCATCGGCAATTTGATTTTCTGACAGGGAATGCAATTATCCTTAAGGCTTCATTTCAGCTCCCATGGCCCAACAATTTCCCACACCGTTTTGAAGTACCGACTTCCAGCCTACGGACATCTCGTCTTAGATGAGAAGGGATTTTCAAGATAGAAACTTTGTGTCAAATTTGCTAAATCCGCTTTGTTGACCATACATACATACACGTTCGTTCTAACCACCTACTCTTATTGTCTGCAGGTAGACACACAAAGACGCAACTACGCCAGCAATTCCATAACTCTTCCACAAGGAAGCACCCTTACCTGCATAACCTCATAGCCACTCGAAGTACCGCCTCATATAGTCAGGGATGGCAGCTGTACTTACGTAAAGTAATGTTTGCTTCCTGTCATCATAACGATGAATTGAACCACAGGAAGGGAAATTCTCCCTGCCTCGGCCCTGGATGATCACATAAAGAATCCCGTACGGTAAGGCTTTTATGCGCTAACCATCACGCCTTACGCCCACACCTGATTGGTCAACTTCTATGGCGCGCAAAATGCCATTTTTCCGCTCCCGGTCAACATCCACGACATCGCCCAAGACAACCGGTCAACGAATATAAAGTACGCAGAGAGGCGTATGTTGAGATAGCATAAAGTTCTCCTGAGACCACTTCACCGTCCGTGAGCTGCGCTCAACCTGTGGCGCCCACAAAATCAATCACTAGTAATCCTTCAGGGTTGTAAATACACTCCTCTCGCCCGTAATTGGTACTAATTGATGCGAGCAATATTCGAATCGGCTGATTGGTAATACGGATAAGTCATGATGGCTAGGATATAGGAAAGTGATGTGCCAAAAGAGATGCTTGTACGAGCCTCGGTAACCCAGTTCCGCAGTAGACCAAATTTTATGAAGTCACAAATGGTAGAAAGTGATGATGAGTGGGGACAGTAAGCGTATCTGGACGATTCAAGTGGTTTAGTTTGCTACTCAAACAAAACGGGAGAAGAGGAATTCATCGGAGTGAAGATTTTCCCACGCTCAGGGGTTCCATTTCCATGGCAGACGGATATCATTTACTTGAGGTCAACGCAGAAATATCAAGAAACCTAAAAAAACATCTGTTCATCTATTGTGAAGCTCCCGGAGGGGGGAGTGCTGCTCAACATGGAGTTGTCTCTCCTTGGAGCGTTAACAGCAGATACTTACTTGAGGTCAACGCAGAAATATCAAGAAACCTAAAAAAACATCTGTTCATCTATTGTGAAGCTCCCGGAGGGGGGAGTGCTGCTCAACATGGAGTTGTCTCTCCTTGGAGCGTTAAACACCAGCAGATACGAACGTGATCGGATTTCAAAACCCAGGGAGCATTGTGACAGTTTCTAACCCCAACATCGAGGGGAAATCCTGGATGCGTGGTGGAGTTTGAAGTATGCAAGTGTGCTGGCTTTTGTAGCGTTTCCCCCTCGCAACATGCAGGATGATCTTGTAGTTCTTTGCACACCATACACAATTACAGTATTCCAATGTGAGCATGCAGAGCGACTAGGTCAGCAGTAGCTGTTCAGTATGCGACCGACCGAAGTGAAATAATTCCATTTACTTCATATGTTATTTCGATATAAATTAACAAGATTGGTGTCGTCTGCAAATCCTCGTGTATTCCAAGCACACAGTGCACACCTGTCAATAAGGGACGCCAGGACCTTAGAAGGATTATTACGTCACTTTGCACAACCCCACGGCGCACGATTGTTCAAATCATCCAAGAGACGACCGGAAACCCACTCCGAACGAAACGAGAGAAAATGACGTTGGATGAAGGCAGGAAAAAATGGCTTCAGCCGTAACGGCTTCCTGGTATATAGCTGCCATGCCACCCGAAGAAAGTACAAGGGCCAGGTTGTCGAGGCCTAGACAGGGGCAGTCGAGATAATGAGGTTTGATTGGAATCTTCCGGTCAGCACGCCTTAATCAATGAGCTACTTCGAACTGCATCGAAGTAATGGTCTCTGAAAGTGGCGTCTGCGCATGGCGGACAATCTTCTTAACTAATATGATCACTTATCACAATTCGGTTATTCGCTGCAAATTAAGTGCGTGATATTTTACCAGAATATTCCAGTGGACGCAAATCGAGCTTCTATCACATTTACCTCGTCTCAGGAGTCAGGTATCGATTAGACATAGCATGGCTTTGAGCTGACATAAACAATGCAGTGATCTTAAGTGGTGATCAGTACCAGAGCAACGAGAATCGCGACCGAACCTTATCTATTCAATGTATAATACTTGGAAGGGAAGAAGTATTCTCCTCTAGTTTCCACGTACTTATGAATGCCTTCTCTGAAGAACGTGGCTGATTCACGGTATGATCTAGCAACCATAACAGATACGTGAAGTGATACCATGCGTGAACAGAATGACAAATGACCTTGAAACTTCGTTCGGGCTTGCGGCCCGAAGTCATTCGGCGTCCTATTCCAAACTGCATGCAGCTCATGGGCTGACAAATCAATGTACACTGGTTACATCCGGTATTTCGTTGTGCGGTAGATACTTCAGTTGCGGGAAACAACACCATCGACTGTGATGACTCGGTCATGTGCTAAGCAAGCCCGAACACCGTCTACAAGCATGCATGTTGTTCTATGTGCCTCCTTCAGAATGGTGGAAACCGCGAAGTGGACAACGTATGGGTTGACAGAAGGGGTGAAAAAGATTGTTGGTGTTGCACACCTTCCAGGATGGAGTCCCCGTGACCCAAAATTGATATGCAAATGAGTGTATGGTTTTATGGTTGTACGGCAGTGAAGCATCAGTGTCAACACTAATGTTGCTGTATCTGCTATATCCAGTCTTCTTAGGTTATGGCGATTGAGTCACAAGCACAGATTAGGGTTGAGACCAAAATCCACCAAAGTTCAGGTAGGTCCACAGCGAAACGCCACACGAGTTCGAACCATTGCTGTGGGATAACGAAACATGCGTATGCTTCCTTACTTCATACCTGAATGACTCATTGACCTAAAATACGGAGGGCGGAAGGACAAGTGTTAAGTGGAGAGAGCGGCACAGAGAGGTCGGGCCCCTGATGATAATTCAAATGCTAATGATGCTTCGCTGGCGACAGCTCCGCTTTCCTTTTTCAGGTCACACTGACCCGGACTACCGAGGCAAAAATGAGGTGAGAAGATCAATAAGGCATGTAGAAGATTGTTGCTCCTTCGATTTAAAACACATGCACAGCGATTCAAAACAAAGGGATAAAAATTGGAGAAACGAAATAAGGCAAAGGCACTCGGATCAAAACTTTTGTTTCTGGCTAATTCCCCGTGTGATGTGCCAACTTTCTCTGATGGCTATTATCAGGAAGGCCAGATTCCTGGAGGCAACCACTGAATGCCGGGAATCTACTGAGACCCTCAGCTCCGCTAAATGCTGACCAGACAGGCAACGACTCCTCGATATGCAGCGCGTCACAGCCTCGTACCAAAGCCAGACCGCATGTGTCAGTAAGTTCACTCAATGTCCCCCAAATAAATAGCTTGAGACCGCTGCACCCTCGCACTCGCTTGTTCGGAATATAGCTGTTGTGTTGCTTTCTGTGAGTCTTTTTTCCGGCATTAGGCACTGGAGCGGGTCAGCAGCCACATACAGCAGATATAACAGCTATATAAACAGAACCAATCTTCAACAGAATTTGAGTGACCCATAGGACAAAACCCCAACAACAATCGAACGGTTGAGATGTACGTAGACTTACTGTCCTAATCTGTTTTGGTCGGTCTAGAAGGGCAGCACTGTAATGCCATCAGGTCTGTTCACTTTTAACTTGGTGTTACCAAGAGACTCAATGAGTTGTCTGCGAGGACAGTAGGTTTCTTTGGCAAATATACTGAATCAATGGTGTGGATCAATAGCGCGCCGGAATAGTGAGCTCAAAAACGCAAATGAACTCTGCGTCCACCGATTTGAACCAGAGGCACGCGAGAGATGAAGGGGCTCTTTAATTGCCAGAACTATAGCAGCCTGGGTAACAGGACAGTTCCATTATGATACGCATGTGTACGATGCAGAGCAGAGAACCATAGAGGAAGCTGTCGCTCACAACATTAACGCAGAAGTAGGACATCTGAGAGCCATCGTCATCATCACTGTCAGCTGTAATAACCGCGTACTCGTCGTACAGTGGTTGTAGCTGCCACAGTTTCGTTCACCGATGATTTGGGGG